TACACGTTCCTGGTAGATGAGAAATTCCACTCTATGCTCTCTTTATCTTTCCCCAGAGTGCACAGAGCTTCTTCTGCTGCAACCTTGCTAAATCTGTCCTGTCTTCCCTACTCCTGGCAGGTGTCTATTGAATCACATATGCTACTTTTAATGAATGGATTAAAATAACAAAATTCCAAACCAAAACCAAAATAAACCCAAAAATCTCAACCCTGCATTCTGATATGTCCATCCTACAGGGCATATGCAGACATTTCCTAAAATCCATCACTTTCAAGCCAACAGACAGGATATGAGCAACAGGTGACTGCTTGCCATGTTTATCCCATTCAAATAAGACACAGGAGAGTTCAATCAATTCCCCCAATGAGAATTAAGGCACAAAAGAGGTTAAATCCTGTCTGTGAGTGAGATATCATTATTGGTCATATAAAAGGGGAAAGGGAAAGGCAATAGGAAAGCAAAAAACAGGAAAGGGTGAAGTAGGCAAGATTCGAGATGCAGAAGCAGAGGTAGTCACCACCATGGATCCAGTGGCATTCTGGTGATCCATAGTCATCTTTCCTTCAGCCGTGGGTGAATACACACAGTCTCTGGATGCTGATCCTTTTTCATAGGGCTTTGCTGGAGTCCTGATTAGTCAGCTTCCCTTGAGGTGCTGGGTCAGCACATAGCGATTACCAGCAAAGGCACACTAAATTTTCCTCACAAATGTCCTGGGAAATTTGTGGTCCAGGTGCAGCTAGAGATTGTTTCCCTTTATCCTGGGAGAGCTGCAGTTTGGCAGCAGCTAGAGATTTACGGTGGACAGTGGAGTCCCACTATCTCCTGGGAAAGGTGCTCAAGTTAGAGGTTTATGGTGGTTTGTTATTTCCTGTGTTTTCAGTCCAGCTATAGCTAGAGACATCCTGTTTTCCAGTCCAGCTATAGCTAGAGGTATAGGCAGAATTCCCAGGGGTTTGTTCTTCTGCTGTGGGCTCAGCAAGCTTTGAGAGAAACAACCAGGTTTTCACCCCACATTAAGTTGTCAAGGCAGGCAATGTCAAAACAAACATTTCTTGAAGGTCCCTTACAATGCTAAGAATAATTTCTGCCTGTAGTGCAGCAGTAATGATAATTTTTTACATTATAATTGACTAACAGAAAATACTTTCTGTTCTACACCTTCTATAAAACTTTCTAAAGAATTACCCAGTTTTACAGGATTCTAGCTTCAGGAATTATCCACTATATGACACAATTAAACACCCAGCCTATCAAGTGCTAATACTTATTATCGAGGCACTTTTTCATTACTGCTTCATTCACTGTGATGTGATGAAGCAGTTAATTACATCAGTTACAAAGGTGGATATAAAATGCAAAGAACCTGAAAGGACCGCAGTCAAATGACGGTGGAATGGAGACAACGGTGTACACAACAGGTAGTGTGGAGAGAAAGAGGATGAAAAGCAGCATGGCCATGTAGAAGTTATTGGATCTGGAAGCTTTGAAGACCCTTTCTTGGGGGACATTGCAGCACATCACAGCCCAGCACTGCAGATACATTGATGTGTGGAGGCGGAACACGTTGATTGCTGGGAGACATGGAGCATAAAAAGATCCCATCCTAGAAAAGAAGCAAATGAAAAAATAACCGCTTTGTTGTACGACTTCTGTCTTCCTAGATATGCCACTCATTCCCTATGTCAATGTGCTTTGTATGCACTGTGCACCCAGAAATTCATAAAACCATCTTTATGGGGTTTCTTTCTTGGTGTTTTCTCTTCAGTCTTGTTTTAAGGAGAGCTGGAGGTATACAGAGAGAATACTCTACGTGAAATTTTTGTTTCAAAGTTACAAAGTCCTCTTTGCAAATTAAATGATCACATGATGAAATGCTACCCAATTTTAATTTGTCCATGTAGCATCTCGTTTGTGTTATGTAAAAACCAATAGCCCTAAAACCTAATACCAAACCTGTTGGTATTTAATTTAATTTATATTTTATTAATATACTAGCAACATTTTAGGAAGGATATTTTTGATTCATTGGCATTTTTCTTTTACTTCTGTCATCATGTCATTTTGTTTTTCATGTCAACAATCAATCCATTTATTAATTCTGCTAAACACTAAAGCAGATAAAAAGATAACAATTGCAAACCTGAGCTGCTTCTGTGAGATGCAGGACACAATGCAGGTTCTTTAGATGCCAGCATGTCATCACTGTAAGGCCATATGCGATGCCATGCTCATCCTCCTTCTGAATGCATACCCTCCTTCTGAATGAGCCCACAGTATTGCTTTCCAGCCCTCAGTGTATCCCCCAGTAGGAGGTGGTTGTGGGAGCTACAAGATATATGCAGCCTCTTTCTTTGCCATGTTTCTGTGGCACTCCTTTGACATGGACACAACACACAGCACACTGGGCTGCATAGAAGTGAGGGCTTTCACCAAGCAAATAGTGTGATTGCAAAGCCATACTAAATGCAAAATAATAGGCCTTAGCAAGAACTAACTTAGAAGTCAACAGGGCTTGGAAAACAGTTCCTGAGGAAGAATGAACATCTTGCATGAGGACTCTATATGCTGGTATTCCTTACCAGCTATGTAAAATCCAAAATTGTGTTGAAACATAAACCTTTTCTGTTCTAGGTCTAAGGACTAAAACTGTAGCAGTAGCATCGTTTGCACATTCATATGTCCGCACAGATAAGTGTAAAACACATTTGTTTTAAGGCCTTTTTTCACAGGGCATGTGGAAAAAGAGTGGTAAGGTGTGTTGAAAGGCTGAAATTCAAAGCAAAACAGTACAGCAAGCAGTCAGTCAACAAAAGTATAAGATTCAACTATGCAGCTTTTTACTGGTTGGTCTTACCAACACAGTGCAAAATCCTGGTGTATCTTGCCCCATAATCTTGGCCCAGAACAAGTTTTGAAGTGTTCCTACTGATTGCAGGGTACCAGAGTTCAGTATATGTCACACTCCACTTCCATCAAAGTAATGAAACAGGACATGATCAACATTTCAGAAGAATATTTCACAGATACAGCTAAATCCTGCCATCCTGCAGATGCAACATGCTTTTCCACACCTACCAGATCATGCCTTGGTTAAAGATCAGTCCCAGCACATTTCCACTTATATCAAACTCTGAATATGATGGCTGAAAGAAATGATGCAGATGTTTTCATTAGGTTTGCACTAAGGGTTGTAAAATGATTTAGAGTAGATTAAAACTGTCACTTCCAACAGCAGCAGCACACTGGCATTACATTGCAAGGCCTCCTGTTGCACCTTACCAGTGAATCATGGCATAAATAATATAACCCGAGGCCAGGAGGCAGTCTTTAATAGAATTTGTTGCATTTTACTAAAAATCTTTTCAAGATTTGTTTACAGGAAGATGCTAATGGAGACTTATAAATGATTCTGGGTACTGGGTAAATTTTTAATCAACAATTTATTAATTTTCCATTGAATTGGATAGCGGTGGTAATGTACTATGTTCTCCAGTACAGTACCACCCATGAGACTTAATGTGATTAATGTTATACAACATGATTTAATTCCTGATTGAACTATAGTGCTATCTTTCATATTTTTGCAGTTACACTGTTGAAAAATTCCTTTATAGTATCAATAGATGCTGTCAGTTGTGGGTTTTTTCTTGCTCAATATGAATATCTTATTTCTAATTTGAGTGTGTTTGATTTTACTTTTACTTTCAAGATTCAGTCATGGAATCCCATTATCATTTTGTCTGCTGAAAAACGACCTCAATCATACATTTTTATTTCCAGTGTGGACACATTAATGCCACAAAAATTATTTAGTCTTAAATTTCTGAACACCTCATCTGATCCTTTCATTCTGTTTTTCCAAATATTTAGTCATTTCCACACCTCTTCTTTTACTTTAATTATTAATTTTTAATTAATGAATATTTCTGCAAATATTGAATACAATAGATTTAGGCGGGATTTGAAATGCAACCATACATCTTTGTTTGTGTGCATATGCACCAGATCGAATCTTTCTGGTATGAAATTGTGGCTGTTAACTTTCTGTTTACATCTAAATTTTTGTTTCAAACTTATTATTTATATGGTTTACATACTCACAAAATTTTATTAAATCACTGCTCTCATAAAAGAAAGTTTTGCTACATCATAACTTGTGACTTCATGATTTGCCATGCTAGTGGACAAAAACCCATTAATAATGTCATCTTCTAGGTATGAATTATATTGATGACTGATAGAGGGAGTTAGGGGCATGAGATACAAAAATAATCATTTCCTTATGGCTGAACAAAGTTATTCTATTAAAATCATCAATTAAGTCATCATTTTGGCTTGTTCTGTAGTTTATTGTTGGAATATTCAAAGTCCCTACTCTCCTTCTGTGTAGCCATTGTGTATGTCAATGATAAATTGATTTCAGGATCCCCTACTATCAGATGTGTTGTTGTCAAATTTTTGCCCATGTGGTATTCAAAGGGTTATTCAAGGGTTATAACTTGTTTGTCCACAACCTGACTGGCTGAGTCTTTGTCTCCAGCCCTACATCAGTTCTGTTTGAGGCACAATGTGATTTCATATGAGCCAGCAGGTAACACTGAGATTGCTGTACCAGAACCTGGAGGTTTTAATAAAAGACACCAAAATTTTCTCTTCCTCTGGAAAAATTATCATTTTCCAAGATGCAGTTCTCAGTAAAGCAACAAATGTTTACATGTATGAAGGCCAGATTTTGAGGAAAGAAGAACAAAATCATGGCAGAATAGCTACAATGACTGCCCATGCAGAGGTACACTTCATAATCTTAAATTACTTCTCAGTAAGTACAAAAGTATGAAAGAGGCTTTGACAATACTCTGACTACTATTTCAGAGATTAAAAGCAGCATCAGAACTTACAGTGTCTTAACTGGCAAATTTAACCTAGATCTGGACAGTGTAAAAGAGTCAAAGTCTCAACTCCCAAGTGAAGGGTTCTATACCTGTTCATGCTATAGGCCTAAATAACTTTATTTCAGCTAAACTAATTCTAATGAGAAATACATATAATAAGATTTATAGAACATATTTTTTCATTTTTTTCCATTTTTTCGTATTTTTTTCTCCACAAGAACTGTACTTGAAGACCATATCTGAAATGCCATTGAAATCAATGAGATCATATTCTGTGAAACAGTCTTCAATTTGCAAAAGTGTACAAATGTGTACCCAGTGTTCTTACACAATCAAATCAAATAAGCAGTCCAAATAAAAGTCCTAAAGTTAACAAAGTCCAAAGCATAAGACACATATTAAGCCATAGGCAAATTCTGAGAAAAACTGACACAATGTTTCAGTAGCTCTCTAGGATTGAAAGGAAAATGCAATTTGTAACAAAAAAAAATGTGAAGTAGAAAATAACAAAGACATTGCAAATAACAAATCAGATACTTACAAATCCATACTCCAAGTCCCAGCACCAGCAATAATTGAAAAACCTAACGAAGACAGCTCTCAAGAAATCACCAATTAGAATAGTGATGTATGTTGTCATCATATCAGAGACTGTCAGGCGCACAAATTCCTGTTAGAGTAATATCCTTTTTTAAGAATATAATTAAGCAATTAATAGTTACAACAATAATGAAATACTGGACTCGATCCATAATTGTGCTTATCCTGCTTCAAGATGGAAAAGGTTCTGCTCCTCATCCTCAATCACTGATTCTGCAATATGCCAGGAAAAATACTACTCCTCATTTGTAAGAAGTATTGTTTGTTCTTATTCGTACTTGTATTATCAGATGAGGATTCCAGGGTATGATAAGACTGGGAAAGACTTCCAACCAAGATTGCAGCTATAACTGAAATCCAATGTAACAGACTTTCAACTCCCAGTACATATGGAGAGGAAAGAAAGAAGAAGAAAATCCTAATGAAAATCCTTATTCCCCTACCTTTATTTTATTGTGTTCCACTAAAGTCTATAGTAAAAGGCCCACCCCTATAGCCTAGAAAGCTATCACTCTCCCTGATCTCAAGTTAAGGGGAAAATTAGTGCAGTGATGAGCTACTGGTGTTCTTAGATATTCAGCATCAGTGGAAAGAACAGAGGGGCTTATTTTCCTACCTATCTGCTCCCTGTTGGTGATTTATTCATTCAGGAGGACAGATTGTCAGAGTGATAGAGCAACAGCAAAAGCGATCCAGTGTTGAATTTGTTCTCATGAGGCAAACAACAAAAATGGAGTATGATCAAATAGTGAAAAAGGGTATGTTAGAAAATTATTTGGAAACCATATATTCTATTAATGGGTCAATAAGAATAAATGTTCAACTTAAAAGAAATAATTGAGCATATTTACCATTAAATAACTAATGCTCTTTTGTATTATGTTACTTGGCTAAAGACAAAGATACCTTCTTAAAAGCATAGTGATGTAAGAGCCGCCTTACACATACATCCTTGTTTAGTTACTCCTTTTTTTTCAAAATTGCTAAACAGGTTTTGCAAGACAAAGATGGCGTCAGGAAGAGGAAGGTAAATGAAGAGGATATGGCAAAGGGCAAGGGGGAAATATTTCCAATGCTCTCAGCCTGCAGGAGAAGGAATTTTCTACTAGACAGGGTTCAAAGAAAATTAAAAAACTTTTTGGCTCAAGAAACAGTCCCACCTCTGCTTCTCCTCACATTTTTCCACTTTAATGGCACATTAACAGAAATAAAGATGGTTTAGATATTGCATCCTGTAGCAGACTCTGACCTATTTTCAAATATGAGCTCAAACCAGTTACATTACCTGTCCCACCATTGTCTCCCAGCATGGCCCTCTGGGAACATCTGCAGGGTCCACCTGTATTGGAGGAGCAGTCGAATTTTCTGGAATAGTACCATTGTACAGACTGGCTTCCCATATTGTCATGTTATACTTGACTATCTTTTCTTCTTCCAACTAAGTAAAGAAGTATATTAGAAAAACAAAACAAAACAACAACAAAACAAAACAAGAAAACCAAAACAAAATAAAAAATGGCATGAGCTTCTTACCAACTCTCAATCTTTTCTATTTCAAGATTCCCATTGCCAGCTCAGGCATGAATGTGATTTATGGTACAGACAAAAAGAATGTTTTTCACTGACACATCTGTGATTGACTGGAAGTCCTCATTCTTGCCCAGCTACATGTTAAAAATAGTGAAGGGAAGTAAATATCTTGCCTTGAGATTGATTTCATCCATTAGGGCGATTATGAAAGTGTAGAGGTTTCCAAGAAAAAGAGCAAAGATTCGTCCAAGCTGCCATCTTAGAGCTATTCGAGGGTGGTAATTTTCCAGAGAACTGATTACATCAAATAAAGTTGGACAGAACATTCCTAAAAGTGACATAACCATGTTCACCTGAGAGGGGAGGAAAAAAAGTTTTACATTGAAATGTTAGAAGCAAATTCTTATATCATTATTGATCTTGGTGGAGAATATATATTTCCATTGCTACTTTTTATTTGGTTTTTGATTTAATGAAATACAAAATCTGCTCTCAGTGTCACAAGCTGTTTGCACAAATGAAAAAATGTTTGAAAAGTCAGTTGCAGTCTACTGCAGGTGGATATATGATTTTCTTTTTTATTTTCCATTTTACTAAAACATTCAAATGTTAATTATTCTGACTGGAGCCTACAATTTAACCAAAATTCTACTATCAGAGAACTTAGCAAAACCTGTTTCTAGTACTGGTTTTTTTGCTATATCTTACCACATCTTCCCCAAAGACACACAGATATGCTATAAATAACATTCCTACAAAAGCACAGCATTAAATTCAGTTTATCTGAGATCTCACCCAAAGATATTCCAGGTGTCACAGAATCATAGAACCATATACTATCGCAAGTTGGAAGATGCCCATAAAGGTCATCAAGTCCAACTCCCTGCTTCCCACAGGACTACCCAAAAGTAAACCATATGAGTAAGAGCAGCATTGAGACACACTTTGAACTCTAACAGACTTCACGTCTACTTCCCCAGGGAGCCTGTTCCAGTAACTGACCACACTGAGAGTGAAGAACCTATTCCTTATGTCCAATCTGAACTTGGACTGATGCAGTTTCAGTCTCTTTTCTTGTGTCTTGTTGCTGGTCCCCAGAGAGGGATCGTCGTTCCCCCTTCACTGCTCCCTGTCAATGGGCTCACGCCTCAGCCTTCTCTTCTCCAAGCTGAGCAAACCAAGTGATCTCAGCAGCTCCTCATAAATCTGGCCCTTGAGACCTTTCACCATCTTGGTCACTCTTCTCTGGACATTCTCTATTAATCTAATTGCATTGAGGCACCCAAACTGCACCCAGTACTCAAGGTGAGAACACACCAGTGCAGTGTGGAGTGGAGCAATCATCTCCCTTGACCAGCTGATGATGCTGTGCCTGATGTACCCCAGGACACAGTTGGCCCCTTTGGCTGCCAGGGCACACTGCAAACTCTTTTTCAATTTTCCATTGACCCAAAACCCCAGTCTCTTTCTGTGGGACTGCTACCCTGTCTCTCAGCCCCACATTTGTACATATACCCAGAATTACCCCATCCCATGTACAGAAACTGGCACTTACCCTGGTTAAATTTCATGTGGTTGGTGATTGCCCAGCTCTCTTTCTCACATCTCACATCCTCAATTCAAATTAAATTAATTCAAATTAACCCTGCTTCTTTCTGCCTAATTGTCTTAGAAATCTCTAATAATCTTATCATCTTAGTAGTTGGGAAGTTGAAAACTTTTTTATTATGTTTTGTCTTTTTTACTGCTTCTCTGAAGCTTAAATGTTTATTCTCATTTGGCTCCTGTCTGCATTTTTCCATGCCTTGACTATTAATAATACCTATCTTGAGAGCATTTTAAATTCTGAATAAAAGTTGCTGTTAAGATAAGTGAAATGAGGCACAGCACTTTGTAAAGTTTAGAAGTGAGAAATTATTACAAATGAACATGCAATAATTTATGGAGACAAAATGCAATATCCTGTTTTTTCAAAATCTAAAGAATATGATAGGGTTCTAAATTTGAAAGCATAAACAATTTTCATATAGCTTCATAGACAGTATCATTATACTTTGTTTCTCGTGAAACATTTTACTGAACAAAGAAATTATCCATTGATTCCATCCATTGAATTTTACCCACCGCAATCTAGTTTGATTTCAGAAAGAAGTTGATTTTTCTTCTGAGCTTCTTGCCAACTTGAAACTAAGTGCAGATTTTCTTCCCCTCATTTTATCAGTGACAAAATTGTGTAATTATATGTCAGAAGATGGATAGCATATAAGCATGCATACAGGATAGAGTTATAGTTATGGTTGATCATCAGTGTGGTCATATATACACTATCTGATGAATTACTCTCAAAAGCCCTCTCTGTGCTGCTGAGATAGAATTTTCCCTAAAAAAGGAATAACAACCAAGAGACACCCACTGATTATTAAAACTGTGGTTCAGAATGCATTTTTTCTCTCTGACATTAACTACTCTGGACACAAAGTCTTTGTGTTATATTTGAGAAAACAGGGTATTCAGTACTACAGAGAGTCTCATACTACCTATTAACTCTATAAACTCTCTGCTGCCAAAAGAGAGAAAAGAGAGAAGATTAAGAAAATTCAATTTTGTTCTGCAATTTTTATCTGATTTCGGAACATTTTGCCAAGGGAATCACTGGAATTATTCGCCTCTTTACCAAACTTTCCACAGTCATGGGAAAACTGGCACATAGCGCAGAATCATTCATCCATGACCTATCACCAGGCCATAGCCAAGTAGAAGAAAGGATGGAAAGGCTGATGAAACCCTTCCACAGTCCCAGTCTGCCTGTTTCCACTAATTTCCTGCTCTCCATGACACACTACATCATTCTATCAAAATAGCATTCTGACAGAACTAGGTACTGCCAATATGGAGAGAGATTTTAAAAATTTCAACATAATGAGAGAAGAGGTGAGTCAGATATGAAAAGGTCCTTCCACAGAGTCACCAGCAGCACTTTATTATGCTGTGAGCTTCAGGAACACATGACAAAAAATGTACTCTCCCTGGATAACTTCATGGACATGATAATTGCATGTAAACAGTTTTCAATCCCTTAAGGCATTCAGTGTGATGAAATTTCCTACTAATTGAGCTTACTATGTTTATGAAGAATGTCAATTTTTACATACTGGTTCTTGCACTACATGTCAGACCTGCACTTTCATTGACTCAAAGTTGTACATGGGATTTTTTCCTGATCAAAATCTCAACTCATCTGTTAATGACTCAAACATAAGAAAACTTGATCTTGATTGATAAAATTACAAAAATGTGTCGATGTCTATTACATAGAAGACAAGTATAATTATGTAATTAAATATTAATATTCAATCAAGGACAATATTTTGTACCTCACAAATATGTTAGCTACTTGCAAAGAGGAAAAATTCTTTAGCTAAATAATGGCAGTGTTGCCTTGTTCACTCTCCTTTAGAGACACACCTGCTCCAGATCTTAGTTCTGTGATACAGTGTCTCCTTAGCAGTATGCTTTTTGTAAAGCAAACAAAAGTAAAACAATGAATGTAAATACACGTTACCTACTTTCCAGATTGTCACATAAGCTAATACAGCAGTTTTTGGTATTGTAGTTCTTGTTAATATAAATCTGTTACCACACCCTTCAACTGACAGAGAGCAGATTTCTTCCTGAACCATTTTCCTCTGCTAGTCTGTCACACTTGGAGCTTGTGTTGCTTTAAGCCAAGCAGTTTTGTGCATGATGCTTGTTTCCCATCAGATCAAAATATAACAACAAGTAATTTATCCCTACCTCAACAGCCCCATTTATCTGGATTCCAGAAGTGGATTACTTGAGCTTTTAATATTACCTTCTCAGTCAGGTTTTGGTATTGGAAAGGAAGGACCGATTTTCCTCATTCCATCATTGCCTGCGTCAAAAGCTTTGTGAGACCAGCATCATTTTGTCTTACTTTAAATCAGGCATGTACTTTACACTCCAGCTCAGAAGATGAGCTTTAAGTAACAAATTAGTTTTGCAACATACACAGCAGTATCTTTGCTAAGAAGGTAAAACCTTTCCAGGTTTACCCTGACTTCAGGTGTCTACTGTACACTCGCACAGCAAACACAATCATTATCACCACTATACACCTTGATCAGGCAGGTTACCTCTGCTCTAGAAGAAAGCAGACTAGGCCCAAAAAAATGGTATTGGACTCTTGGACAGGGCAGGCAGAACTGGAAGGCAGTGTTGCTACACTGCAGTTATATCCATGAGGCGCCAGACAACTTTGGATATGCCCACACACCAGTCATTTTGCTTGGGCCTGTCTCAGTAGGAAAGCAACAGGACAGAAGGATCCTTGAAGAGATCTCGTGAATCCATAATGTGTCTGGACAACAATTTTAAGAGGACAGAGGAGGAAATGCAAAGGCCTCAGGTGAAAACTGAATACGACAGCACATTTGAAAGATACAGCCAAGAAATTTAATGAAGCAGGAAGCAAAAAACCAGAAGCAATTCTTTTGTAAGACATTTACCACCCATATTCAGAGTATTTACATACTTAGAAAAAAAATAGGCAACATGCAAAGCAGAAGAACACAGTTTCAAACCACATCTATTACAGAAATGTGGTAGCACGAACTTCATTTCTTTCCCACCACCCGTAGTTCTCCAGACCTTCCAAGGCAAATTGCTGGGATCTTCTGACAACAAAAAAGATGAGGTAGCCACTCCCAGCAAGTGTGCATAGGGCTAAGAAGTTAGCAAAAACCCTCAGGAATCGAGTCAAGTGAATATTTTCCTCTTTTCGGCTCTCCTGCTCCTCCAAGATAGATTCCTGCACTTGTTCAAAAGAAAAGAATATTATGAATACTTCAATCATCAAGGTCCCATGCTGCTTCCCCAACTGTAAGAAGCCAGTTAAATAAATTACAAAGATGCAAATGCACATCTGGGCTTCACGTTTTGAGACGAGTTTATATTATCTCATAAAATCTGGTTCAGGCCCTGGGCATCCTGGGGTTTTGGATCCTCAGGGTTACCTTTGCCTTCACTGAATGTGTCCCCACTGAGGCCTGTTACATTTGTACTTGTGTGCCAAGTAAACCCCAGCACGTTTTGTCAGGTTGCAAGGCTATATGAGGCTGACTGATACAGCTGGATAAATGTGTGATTATCAGTCAGAAAATGAACTATCACAAATTTAAAATGTACATTTGTGAGAAAAAAAAGGAAAAAGGTTTATTCTGAAAGTCAGCAATTCAGAAGGAATGAAAAGGCAATTCAGAAGGAATGAAATACAATTCAGATACAGGAATCCTCCAAAATAAAAAAGACAGCGCAGAACCTCAGACTGCCGAGTAAAATATTTGCCCCACGTTTACCCTAGGCCATGACTGATAAAGTTCTGGTGTAACTCCAGCTTCTACTGTTGCCAGCAGAAAGAGCATTTTCTCTAGAGTGTCCTCATGAAAGGGAAATTAGTTACAGCTTCTCACTTTGGTATAGTGATAATTTACCCAGAGGGGAAGCCAAACTCTGCATTTTAATAATTGCCCTGCATGGCTCGGCTCTTCTTACAGCTTGAGTTTGCCACATAAAAGAAAGAAGATTGTAGTAGCTTTTGAACAAAACTCCAATGACCTCACACAAACTAAGATTTCACCCTTTCTCTCTAAGGTTCCCTGCCCATGTGCAAGGATCACAGTAAAGCTTCATGAGTTTACTTCTCAAAATTAAGCCTTTGTGTGATTTGTATTCTTCCCTAAATAAGTTTCAGCATCTGACCTTAGTAGGCAGGCAGGGGAAGCTCACACAGTTTCAATGCTTTCAGTCTTTCTTCAGTATTTGTTTTCCTGGGATCTTTTCTTGCTAACTTACACTGACTTTGAGTGCAGTTATCTGTTATGACTGCAGCTGAGAAGGTGGTCAGAGTGAGGTGATAAATTGGCTGTATTACTACTGCAGAAAGGAAAGGTATATGCAACGGAATAGTGCAGCTAGTGCGTAGTCCTCCAGCTCCTCTGATATATGTTGTCAGTGTGACTGCAAGCCTAGCATCTTATTAATTGTCTGACCACATTTTACTAGTATATTCCATGTACATTATAAAACTGAAATTTTCCTTTACATGCTGCACTGGTGTCTCCCTGAACCTCAGCGTAAAAACACATTTTTTAACATCCAGCATATCAAATATAACCCTTTCACTGTTTTCACAGTAGTGGATCTCACACCGTGACCGATTCCTCACACAATTACTCTTGAAATCAACATACCCTATACATTGAAAACAGGCCTCAGAACATCAAGCATTGCTTTGGAAATTGAGCTATATTTCATAATTAACTTGAAAAAGAAATAGTATATTATGCAAGGAAAGTAACTTTATTTTCTCATTGAACAGTAAGTACACACTCAAAATTCTGAGGCCCATTCTTCTGGCATGATGATAGCCCATTTTAGATTATTCTGTTTCTTTATCTTACGACATCTCTTCTCTAACAAAAGAAGATGATAATGTGAAGCTGGCAAAATGTGAGCAACATTTTTTTAAGAAGTTTTTCAGACAAGCACCATAGAAACTGGAAGCCATCAGAGATGAGAAAAAGGAAATATTTTTACAGTATAATCATTTTTAGTACTGTCAGCACAGAGGACATAAAAGATGCTAAAGCTTTTTCTTGTACAATTAAATAAAACAAGCAAAAGCAAAAACAAACAAACAAACACACACCCCCCCCCAAAAAAAAACACCCAAAAAAATATAAGAAGGCACAAAGAAAGACCCAGGTTCAGAAGAACATGCAATTCCAGTTGAAGTTTCTAGGCCTGAGGCACAATTAACGCTTGACCCTAGTTCCATCTGATTCACACCAGTGTGAAGGACAAATCATGTTACCTGTCCTTAGTGAGCTCTGTTTTACCTTAAAGCTTGTTGTGATGGAGGCAAACTTATTATCTGCTGTCTCAGGATTGCCAATCAGGTAGTCCCAGCTTGTGAACATTTTCCAGCTGAAAGTAAAACTAGTATCATCCCCACCACCATCGTCATTTGCATTCTTTGCCATTCTACAAAAGCCAGAAACACACAGGAAGATATTGTTAGAACTAATTCTGTTTTGTAAGCATGATTTTTAAGTTGTTCCTAAGTTCTAATATTTGGGGGGTTTTAAAAGAAAAACCCTATATCATTCTTGCCTTCAACTATGTTCTACCAAGTCTTTTCCCTGAAATAAGAGAAAGGGATGGAGATTTTAATTTTTAGACAATTTATATGCTTACAACACACATTTTGATGCAAAACAATGATTTTATTTCTTTAACACCTCACAAAACTCTGCTGGATAACAAACTCAATAGAAAAATTATATCAAGAAGATCTCTTAAACTGAAAGTTGCAGAGTATCGTAAAGTGCTATAGATTTGAGACTTCACTAACAGGAAAAAGAAATAGAAAAGTTCCAATAAATAAAATATTCTAAAATAGCACTAAAGAATAAAAATAAATAAATACAACAAAACAAAATAAATA